CCTCTCGAAAGTACTCATCTCTCCTCGCTGGCATCACATCTTTATGAAGTTGAAGACAAAATTGTGTTGCATCGTTAGTCTAATTGCATTTTGCTCAGGCGACACTACAACAGATTCGTGTTCTGCTCAACAGTTGCTACGATGCACTCATATACATACCTATAGTATAATAAAATACATGTCTACATGTCCATATGCATGTTTGTGTGTATGTATATCCACTGTTAGGCAGGCATGCGTGAATGTTGCAGGAACCAGGCTAGAATCAAGAACAGGACATGCCAGGACAGGACAGAACAGTGGAGAAATTTCTAGGAGAGGACATGCTGCTGCTGCTGCTGGTACTGCCATGGCTGAAAGCTGATGCCTGATGGCATTTTTTGGTTATTAAGACGATACGAATTTTCCCCTCATCATCCATGTGAGCCACACACACATGCCCGTGTAATAACTAGTAATTTCCCAACGTTTATAGTTTCGTTATGTGGCCGAAGGAGGAAGCGGCACGAGGGTCCCAAGTCTAACTTTTGACTCTTGATTTCTCTGGCCTAAATGAACCTGACCAACTCGCAGCAGCTACCCCTACAGCAGCAACAACTGGCCCAACTGGCATTTAAGCAAGGATTTTCGGGGTAGAAGACAGATGAACCAAGGATATACCCTGGATTCGAATTAGGAAACGGCACCTGCTAAAATCATAGGGAGAGTTCTGCTAAGAGGCTTCCCGACCAGGCATTGGCAGACTCTTGATACCCTCTACTCACGGAGTTGTAGCCCAAAAATGTGTCGCATTCAAATGAACCAAAACTGAATTGTGTCTGGGCCGTGCGTTCGCACTCGGTAGTCCCTGGCTGTTGGCACATTTCGTTTTGGATTTTTGATATTTTCATTACGTGCATCTGCCAGTTACGCTTCATTGTCTGTCTGCATGCTTGTGGGTGTGCGTCTGTGTGCCTGGTAGTGTATAAAATCTTGTACAACGTGTCCTTGCCGGTTCTTGTGTCTCTCGTTACGCTTCGTTACATTGCATTGGTTAGTTGGCATCTGAACCCTGTCTAGATTTTAGCCGCTTAATCTCTGCTGACATTTGGTTAGACTGCAACAGTAAAGAGGGAAAGATACGGAGTCGAGTGGCTGCTCAACAAGCTTTTGAATGTGAAAACAACAATGAAATGTGCCATTCCGGCACAACTCAACTCGATCCGAGCAGCCAGCCTTCCAGTCAAAGCCATCCTCCTCAACAGGCCTCAACAATTGAAATAAAGGAAAAAAATGGGCGAAGGGAAAGCTTTTGAGAATCTGTTTTTAATGCCAGGCTTAGGATTTGTGCACTTCTTTCAAAACAAATGTAATTAACATAAGAAGCGTCGACCCCTAATCTGCTTTGCATGCTTCAGCCAAACGAATAGCTTCCACCATTGATTTTTGACTTTTTGTGTTGTATTTTGTGGTTTTGCTACTTGGACTCTGACTGAGCCACGGTCTGGGCCTCCCACTTCTTGATCTCCTGATCAATACGTTCCTTCGCCCGAACGACCTTCGATTGAATGTAGAACGATCCGCCTGCCTTCTTCTGATTGGCATGAAACAAGTACTGGAACTTGTTCTCGACTTCTCCGCGATCCAGCACATCCTTTACGTTCAGAATCAGCTGCGCCTCTTCCAGCGTCATACCCTTGAGCGCAGCATCGGTTTTGGTGGGATTAAAGGTGGCGGACTGCGCTGCATGCACCCGGGCTGCCTCCTTGTAAACTTCGACCTCCTGACGCACCGTCTTCGCGAACGCCTTGCCAATCGACTGGGCGCCCAAGAGAACGATCCTCACCAAGTACCGGGCCATAACAACGAAATTTAATATCTGGATTTTAGTATCCGAATAAATATATAAACATATATATATACAGAATTTTCTCAGCTGTATTGACGGCAACCAAAAGTGGATTTCCTTTTTTCCTAATTACCCGATGGGTCACAGAAGAATCCGTAGTTTTATGAGCCAACGACAGGAGAACATGTCTCTGTCGACAGAGCTGCTGCTGATCAATTACATGAATATAATAAATTGTATTCACGGTCTCAGAGGCACTTTTGCAGAGGCAACGAGGGGGAACGGTGCGAGTTGCTGCGGTCACCGCAACTCTACATTTATACCCGATACTTAGTCAGTATGGCTCTCCTCCGGCAGACACTGCACAATATTAAACGACACGACAAAGAGTGCGTGCGAGAGAGAGACAGAAAATCAGTATGATTCTGCGTTTTTAGTTTTCTCGTATCCTCAATATTGTGGATGCAACCGATTGTCGTCTTTTGTGGGGGCGGAAGTGGACGGGGCAAAGTTTTGAAATATTCTCGTAGTGACATATCACAGAAGTCCGGATATAAAACGTCGTTGCTCTAGCTTGTATAGTCCTTGAGCACTAGGCGCTGATAGGGACGGACAGACGGACGGACGGACGGACGGACAGACAGACAGGGCCCAATCGACTCGGCTGTTGATGCTGATCAAGAATATATATACTTTATGGGGTCGGAAACGATTCCTTCTGGACGTTACACACATCCATTTTCACCACAAATCTAATATACCCCAATACTCATTTTGAGTATCGGGTATAAAAACACCCAATTTGTCAAATTTTCGCAACCAAAGCCACCCCTTCAATTCAATTCAAGGTAAAGTGAAACAATTGTCATTTCTTTAATTATATTTATTAGCATGCTAGAATTGTATCAAACATTAAAATGTGTGTTCGCCATACCAACGGACTCGCCATTAGTCTTGAGTTATTTAACGAGAAATTGTGAATGTGTAGTGCGTGAATATTTGCGTGTAATAACCTCTAGTATGTCACCGCTATAAAAACCTAGGAAAGCTGTGATGGGTAATGATAAATTAGTTCGCGGTGCATCCACTATTTGCCACGGCTTCCACTTACCCCGTCAAAAGCTGTACGCTGTCCGTCAAGGATGGCTGTGTACCAGAGTAGATTGTTCGCCAGATTAAGTAGAGTTGTCGCCTTGTGATTCGTATTAGTGGAAAATGCCATCATTCCAAATATCGAAATAAGAGTGTGCAAGTGTGTTGTCCACAACTATACCCTCCCGAGGGTCGTGGGCTCGCCAGAAACACATTTTGTTTGTGTAACTCCAGCAGCAGAAGTTGTTCCATCCTACGGAGAGCGTCACATCAGTTTACAGGGCTTTCCTAGCAGCATTGTCTCGCATAACGTTGTGCGTGTATGTGCCTTGGCTGACTAGAAGAAGAACGAAGAGCATTGAGGGTCGAAACTGGCTTGCAACGGCGGCGCTGCTGTTTAACACTCACTATATCGACGTTAGGCATATCTGCTATTAGCCTAACGAGGCATTTTGTGTGCCGATTTGTGTAAGTGCTCTTCTGGTTTTTTTCACATTTTAAATTTTACTAAAATTTTATTTTTAACACAACAATTTTGTTATTTGTATTACCGAAACTAAGTTTTTTTAGGAGATGTTGCCCCTATGGAGCCCGAAACGATACTGAATTTGTTTGATTTTTTCAACAGCTCGTAAACTTTCACTTGCACTACGACTGGTTTTGAACCGAGCATGGCCTACTACAGCTATCCAATTTTTTGACAACGTGTTCTTGGGTGGATTTGAATGTCATGGCAATTGACATTACGGAAATACATGGGCGAAAGGAAAGCTTTTGTGAATCATTTCTTAGTGCGAGGCTTTGAATTTGCCCAAGTTGTTCAAAACCAGCACAATTGGCATAACAAGAGTAGACCCCCAATCATTTATGCATGTCCTGACTGGGCCTGCGATAGGGTCTGAGTCTTCCACTTCTTGATCTCCTGATCAATACGTTCCTTCGCCCGAACGACCTTCGATTGAATGTAGAACGATCCGCCTGCCTTCGTCTGATTGGCATGAAACAAGTACTGGAACTTGTTCTCGACTTCTCCGCGATCCAGCACATCCTTTACGTTCAGAATCAGCTGCGCCTCTTCCAGCGTCATACCCTTGAGCGCAGCATCGGTTTTGGAGGGATTAAAGGTGGCGGACTGCGCTGCATGCACCCGGGCTGCCTCCCTGTAAACTTCGACCTCCTGACGCACCGTCTTCGCGAACGCCTTGCCAATCGACCGGGCGCCCAAGAGAACGATCCTCACCAAGTACCGGGCCATAACAACGAAATTTAATATCTGGATTTTAGTATCCGAATAAAAATATATACAGAATTTTCTCAGCTGTATTGACGGCAACCAAAAGTGGATTTCCTTTTTTCCTAATTACCCGATGGGTCACAGAAGAATCCGTAGTTTTATGAGCCAACGACAGGAGAACATGTCTCTGTCGACAGAGCTGCTGCTGATCAATTACATGAATATAATAAATTGTATTCACGGTCTCAGAGGCACTTTTGCAGAGGCAACGAGGGGGAACGGTGCGAGTTGCTGCGGTCGCCGCAACTCTACATTTATACCCGATACTTAGTCAGTATGGCTCTCCTCCAGCAGACACTGCACAATATTAAACGACACGACAAAGAGTGCGTGCGAGAGAGAGACAGAAAATCAGTATGATTCTGCGTTTTTAGTTTTCTCGTATCCTCAATACTGTGGATGCAACCGATTGTCGTCTTTTGTGGGGGCGGAAGTGGGCGGGGCAAAGTTTTGAAATATTCTCGTAATAGTGACATATCACAGAAGTCCGGATATAAAACGTCGTTGCTCTAGCTTGTATAGTCTTTGAGCACTAGGCGCTGATAGGGACGGACAGACGGACAGACAGACAGGGCTCAATCGACTCGGCTGTTGATGCTGATCAAGAATATATATACTTTATGGGGTCGGAAACGATTCCTTCTGGACGTTACACACATCCATTTTCACCACAAATCTAATATACCGCAATACTCATTTTGAGTATCGGGTATAAAAACACCCAATTTGTCAAATTTTCGCAACCAAAGCCACCCGTTCAATTCAATTCAAGGTAAAGTAAAACAATTGTCATTTCTTTAATTATATTTATTAACATGCTAGAATTGTATTAAACATTAAAATGTGTGTTCGCCATACCAACGGACTCGCCATTAGTCTTGAGTTATTTAACGAGAAATTGTGAATGTGTAGTGCGTGAATAATTGCGTGTAATAACCTCTAGTATGTCACCGCTATAAAAACCTAGGAAAGCTGTGATGGGTAATACTAAATTAGTTCGCGGTGCATCCACTATTTGCCATGGCTTCCACTTACCCCGTCAAAAGCTGTACGCTGTCCGTCAAGGATGGCTGTGTACCAGAGTAGAGGATTGTTCGCCATATTAAGTAGAGTTGTTTGTGTAACTCCAGCAGCAGAAGTTGTTCCATCCTACGGAGAGCGTCACATCAGTTTACAGGGCTTTCCTAGCAGCATTGTCTCGCATAACGTTGTGCGTGTATGTGCCTTGGCTGACTAGAAGAAGAAAGAAGAGCATTGAGGGTCGAAACTGGCTTGCAACGGCGGCGCTGCTGTTTAACACTCACTATATCGACGTTAGGCATATCTGCTATTAGCCTAACGAGGCATTTTGTGTGCCGATTTGTGTAAGTGCTCTTCTGGTTTTTTTCACATTTTAAATTTTACTAAAATTTTATTTTTAACACAACAATTTTGTTATTTGTATTACCGAAACTAAGTTTTTTTAGGAGATGTTGCCCCTATGGAGCCCGAAACGATACTGAATTTGTTTGATTTTTTCAACAGCTCGTAAACTTTCACTTGCACTACGACTGGTTTTGAACCGAGCATGGCCTACTACAGCTATCCAATTTTTTGACAACGTGTTCTTGGGTGGATTTGAATGTCATGGCAATTGACATTACGGAAATACATGGGCGAAAGGAAAGCTTTTGTGAATCATTTCTTAGTGCGAGGCTTAGAATTTGGCCACGTTGTTCAAAACCAGCACAATTGGCATAACAAGATTAGACCCCCAATCATTTATGCATGTCCTGACTGGGCCTGCGATAGTGTCTGGGCCTCCCACTTCTTGATCTACTGATCGATACAAACGCCTTGTCAATCCACTGGACCCCCAAGAGATCGGTCCTCGATAAGTATCGGGCCATGGTCCAGTCTTATGGATTGTTCTCGTTTGACAATATTAATAGTAATGGTATAAATATACCGTGAAGGCTAGCAGTGATCCGCTTTTGCAGCTGTCAAATGAAATACCACCATTAGCTATAAAGAGAGAGTGAAAAGTTACAGTCTATATGGAAAATATCATTGCAACAAAGAATCAATTGAAGTATACAATTATTGTTTATTTTATTCAACAAATAGTTGGAAAAAAAGGGCTGAGCCAACTCTGTGCTTATTTCGGGCGTCCCATAAAGTCATGCAGCCCCTTGACAGGCACCGTACGCCAGAAAAGAACGCCTCCACGGTGGTAGAATCCACTACCCTGATATATATCATAAAAGCACTTGGTCCAGTGTTCATAGTGCGGCATTTGAGACGGCATTGCAGCAGCCAAGGGGGACCCTTGAACATCCATACAGGTGCCCACCACTGACAACGGGTGCAGAGCGTACGAGGACGAAACATTGACTATTATCTCGTTGAGTGCCTGAATGGTGCAGTGTTGCGGCCAATAGTGGAAGAAGAGAGCCGTCGCGACAGTGGTGACTCCCATGACGCCTATATTGCGCAGCAGGCGGGGCACAAAGCCGGCGTAGAAACCGGCCACGCCTTCTTCGGTGAAAATCTTGAAGATGGTTTGGGCCAGAGTTTTGTAGACATTTTCGCAACCTATAAACTGGGCGATCTGGCGAGTCAAGACTACAGTAAACGGCTGCGTGACGACCAGATTCAAGGTCAAGCGGATGCTTCTGACTAGCAAGTTCCATGACACATCCTTCACAGAAGTCCCAGTCGTATGGGTTAGCTTGCGAGTTCCCAGACCCATCGCCACCAGAGCTGCCTCCATCAGGTAGGAAGTAACATTTCCCGCGATGCTCGCCTTCAGACCCCGAAAGAGGGCGAAGAATCCATCGCTCTGATGGATGTACCCAATGAGGTGTTGCGTCCCAGGAAGAAGACGGCGCGATCCGAGCAATCCCACCCGAACAATCTCACCAGGAAAAGGATCAAAGCCCAGTTGCATCAAGACACCGGCATGATGGAACGGGTGCATCAGCGTAGTCCAAAGTACCCCCGTGCAGAAAAATTCCAAAAGGTCATTCAGTCCATCCTTTTCGTTGTTCCTGTTGTTATTCTGCAGCGGGCCCTCTCCAGGCTCAATATGGTCCGGCCCATTTAGGGCCACCATGTCGAAGCGACCGGCAACCAGGCGATGAACTCCCTGCTCAGGATCCCATAAGTGAAGGCCATCCTCTACGTAATTCCCATCGCCAGCACCGTTGTTCCGCAAAGCGATCATGGCCAAAACCAAATTGTCTTCGAAATCCGGGAGCACAAAATAGTCTTCCCCCTCGATCCCGAATTCAGGGCGATTTCCAGACATATCTGTTGATTTGAAAAAAAAATGTTTCGAATAGTGTTTTTCTTTTTATTTGTATAAAGAAACTTACTCAATTTTGAGAAGCAAATTTATTTATGAAGTATATCTGTAGTTGTGCTTCTGTCGAGCAAAAAAAGTATACTGATACTTTTCAATTCTTGGGTTCTGAAATTAGAATTTTAAGTCCTACATTAAAATCCACTGCTTTATACGAACACAAAAAAAATAAATATAAATATGTACATACATATATACATACATACTTACGTATACATACGTACAGACGACGGTCGTGCAAAGTAAAGTTGAAGGTTAAAAAAAATTATAATTAATAATAAAAACGATCGGGAACGTTGTGAGCAGCGGCAATGGCCGCGGATTTTAGAATTTAGTATTTTGAAACAAATACGATTGAGTGTAATATCATAGGAGCTTGGATACAAAATTGGGGTGCTTTAGTTCTTATAACCTCTGAGAACTGGGTGTCAAACCAGGCGTACAGACGGAAAGGCCGACATGGCTATATCGACTCAACTATTGATGTTGAACAAGAATATAAAATATACTTTATGGGCTCGGAAACACTTCCTTCTGGGTGTTGCACACACCCACTTCCGTCACAAATCTAATATACCCCTTAACTCTTCAAGTCAATGATGGTATAATAATAGAATAGTATAGAGCCAAGGGAAACAGCAAAATCAGAAGATATTTTTACCAAATGTTAACTAGATCATTTAGAGCAGTTTTGTAAAATATTAGGCAATGCAAGGTGGAATAATAAAATAAAGCAAACAGAAAATGGTTTCTTTAAAAAATATAAGAAACTTAATCTTTGAAGAAACAGCGTATATTAGGCACACTTTCTGGGATGAACATATTGCAGGCAGAATGTTGAAAAATATAGCTAAATAAAGCACTCAACTTGTATCGGTCCCAACCCTATTTGCTGAATTTGTACTCTTTGAGAGTTCCAGTTAGGGAAAGTGTCTTTAATATATGTGTGAAAGCGACGCTGAAGGAAGCACTACCTAAAGAAGCAACGAGTAACGAGTAACTATTCCTGAAGATATTTTCTTAAGGGATTACCTATACTAAATATACATATAATACATATAGGTGGATCGGTCGCAGTTGTTTTTTAATTTGTTGAATTTCTTAATTTTCGATTTAACTTTTATGTAATTTTTTGCTGTTTGGAAAATTTAAAATTCTCTTTTCCTCCCTCTTGCTGTTCTGCTCTCACTCGTTTACTCTTCTCTTGATTACAAATCCCAGAGAATCCACCGACGAACTCCCTCCTATCCACCATGCAATCGGCCTCAACCGTCCGCTCGCTTGCTTTACAACATGAAATTTCAATTAGGCTGACCCCGATGCCCTTTGCTGTTTTTCTGGTCAATTTACTGCAACCAGACGTATTGGCAGCCCGCCACCCAGCACCCATCTCCGCCTCTTGGTCATCCTCACCCATTTCCCATTAGGTTGCAATTTTTTTGAATATCATGGAGAAACTTTTGATGTTAAAATCAGGCAAGGGGCACAGCAGCACCCCCAACGAAAACCATAGTGCAAGAATAAAGGAATATATTTATATTAACCAAATAAATGCACTCCTGCGGGACATACCTGGGAGAATAGAAATCGGGAGAATTCTTCCGTAAATTAAAGAATGCTTTGCCGGGAACTTTCGCTGAGGAGAATTGGGCTCGATTGGCCTTGAGCATGGATGCCAAAATATTTAGCTATGATCTTCATCAGCAGTACAATTTTTCACTTACTTGGCCAAGGGGTGCGACTGCCGAAGGGTGCACCCGAATGAATGGGCCATTTTGTGGTGAATGGTAGCTCCAGAGCACTTTCGCACGCCACCCATGCCCATGGGCTCCTCCTGCGCCCTGCCCTCTGCCCCTCCGTTCCATCCAATCCAATCCCGTCCAACCAACTGAAAGCAAATGCAACTTATGCGACACGCACAGTTGATTAACAATGTCGCAATTTTTGAACCGAGCCAACTACGTCGAAGTCCCGCAGCCATGGCCATGGCCGTGCTTTCGAATCCCCCGGCACGCCTCTGGCGACCAACTCCAACAACTGCCCTCCCTCACAGGCACACGCACGATTATTGCACATCACTAATTAGTGATGTGTGCGACGCATCGCGCCTACAATTTTAGATCATGAGGACGAGGAGGACGAGGAGGAGGAGGAGGAGGAGGATACGGTGGAACTGGCAGAAGCGAGACCTGACGTTGACATTCCACTAACAGTGAAATTGTTTTCCAAATCCTAAGCTTGCATGTTAGCCACAAGCAACAACAGTACGCAATTCGGCCAGGGAGTGGGAGTGGATAGCCGGTGGCGGACTGGGGCTGGAGACTGGGGACTGGCGGCCAGGGGTCGGGGCGAACCACGAACGGCAGCAGCGAATGAATGGCAATGAATGCGACACTGGACACGAACACTAGGCCTGCTCCGACCACTTTCAGCGCCATGGCCATGGCCATGCATCACCGACGCCAGCCTTGCCACGTTGCAGCGGATCCCACGTTGCAAGTGCGTGTGTGGTAAATAGTGAACTGTTCCCCATCCCCTACCTTCTACCCTCCACAGATGAGTGTACTCTTCTCTGTACTCTATCTCGAAAGAGATTATCAGCTATTATCTATTGGTTGGTTTATTCTAGAAGTACTCTATACTGAGGAAGAAATTATCTTTTATTCTCATTAATTGCATGTAAAACATTATCGTATGATAATTCATTCAATCTCGAACGGTTCTTATATGTATATTCATCTATTCCATTTATTGCCCATCCAAATCAGTTTCAGTAAGGGAAACCTCCATGAGGTTTATTTGAGTGCGACAAAATTCGCACTTCTTGTTGCATTTGCACTCTAAAATTTTTTCTTGCATTTTCGAGGGAGGAGAGGACACTGTGTGGGCTGGCGCTCTGCCTGTCGGGGGATTAAAACTGCCGGATGCAGTGCGGAAATCAAAATGCTATGGCGGCCAGCCATCGGACACAACTGACGAGCGTTCCATCCGCTGGCCGCACTCCTACTCCTCCCGGCAACAGCACAAAAAATACCAAACCAAATGGAATCAGAGTTGGAATGGGAATTGGAATGGGAATGGGAATAGGCATGGGAATAGATGTAGTTGTAGGCATAGAAGTCGGAATGGAATCGGAATCGGAATCGGTGGACCGATCGGGGCGGTAATAGAAGTTTAAATGGCAACTAATCGCAAAAGTCAGGACTCCTGCCAGTCCTGCCAGAACGAAGCGAGCACGATGCTGGCCATGGCCACGTTTAGATAGCCATGTGGAGGTGTTTGCATAATGAATGAGCCCCAGCCAACAGCTAAAGCTGCGGCTTCTGAACTAGAAAATGGGGAGCAGCAGCGTCCACAGTTTTGGTTTCAGTTTGGGTTTCGGGCGGCTCCAGACACCAGTTCACGCACAAGACAATGAAATCAAACAACAAAACGCAAATGCGATCAATTACAGTTGGTGAATTTTAACGGAAAATGGCCAGAAAGCCGAGAGCTGCAACAGTTGTGTAAATGATGATTCCACTGCCACACAGAGAGATGGCTCGCTGCCGCTTCTTCTCTCCATGCGACACATAAAATTATGACTGCCAGGGATCCGGAGCGGCAGAGGCGGATGGGCTCTGGGATGCGACCCCGGCAAGGCAACAAGTCATTATTGTAATTACGTTAATACCCCTAACGCACACGTTACATTGCATCAGATCTGCCCCAGAGAGAGTGGGAATTCGGGAAGGACCAGCTGCCACAACGTACGTGCCCCAAGGATTGGAAGCAGCAGAAGCAGCAACAACCACTAGAGGGACTTAACTGCTTGACAGCCCTACGCCCGGAAGTCTGTCAATTTGCGTATAATTTGTTTATGAGCTTCACACACACTCACTTACATACATATGCAGATACGCCTCTGGAGCGGATGCGGAAGCTGAGAGAATCTGAGCAAGGAAACGTTTTGATTACATTCCATTCCATGTGCCAAGCTTTTGACACAATCGTTGGCTGGCATTTTTAGGCATATTCAGAATACAAAATGACTCTGACGAAGAGAACGTGAAACTATTCAATGAAGTGTGTCGAAATCTCGCCGAATGCAATCTCAGCTGCATTCAGCTGTCCATATATGCAATAATATGCGCATACGATATTAACAACGAAAACATCATTCAGCTTTGGTATTTTTCCCCTGTAGACGAAAAGCGTCCCCTCCGCGACACATCAAAATAAAGTACTAGATCAAACGTAATTTCTCTTTAACTTTACACGTAGTACCGTGAATACAATAAGTATATTCATGTTATTCTAATAAAGCGACGAATCGAGTTATAACCCATCGGATAATAAGAAAAACAGGAGGTCCACTATTGGTTGTCTTTCGCTACAGCTGAGACCATTGTGGATACATTTCTATATTTTGGTCATTTACTAGTTAGTGAGTTACTACTCTTCTCAGATATAACATTTATATGATTAGGGGTCTACTCTTGTTATGTCAATTCTGTTTGTTTTTAACAACGTGGGCAAATTCTAAGCCTCGCACAAAAGCTTTCCTTTCGCCCATGTATGTATTTCCCTAATGTGCATTGCTAGGCCCGGTGCTAACAGGTGTCGTAGAACGGAAATGTACTAGACTGTACAGTATCAGAGCTGCCGAAATCTAGCCATGACATTCAAATCTTCCCAAGAACACGTTGTCAAAAAATTGGATAGCTGTAGTAGGCCATGCTCGGTTCAAAACCAGTCGTAGTGCAAGTGAAAGTTTACGAGCTGTTGAAAAAATCAAACAAATTCAGTATCGTTTCGGGCTCCATAGGGGCAACATCTCCTAAAAAAAACTTAGTTTCGGTTATACAAATAACAAAATTGTTGTGTTAAAAATAAAATTTTAGTAAAATTTAAAATGTGAAAAAACCAGAAGAGCACTTACACAAATCGGCACACAAAATGCCTCGTTAGGCTAATAGCAGATATGCCTAACGTCGATATAGTGAGTGTTAAACAGCAGCGCCTCCGTTGCAAGCCAGTTTCGACCCTCAATGCTCTTCGTTCTTCTTCTAGTCAGCCAAGGCACATACACGCACAACGTTATGCGAGACAATGCTGCTAGGAAAGCCCTGTAAACTGATGTGACGCTCTCCGTAGGATGGAACAACTTCTGCTGCTGGAGTTACACAAACAAAATGTGTTTCTGGCGAGCCCACGACCCTCGGGAGGGTATAGTTGTGGACAACACACTTGCACACTTGCACACCCTCGGGAGGGTATAGTTGTGGACAACACACTTGCACACTCTTATTTCGATATTTGGAATGATGGCATTTTCTACTTCTACGAATCACAAGGCGACAACTCTACTTAATCTGGCGAACAATCTACTCTGGTACACAGCCATCCTTGACGGACAGCGTACAGCTTTTGACGGGGTAAGTGGAAGCCGTGGCAAATAGTGGATGCACCGCGAACTAATTTATCATTACCCATCACAGCTTTCCTAGCTTTTTATAGCGGTGACATACTAGAGGTTATTACACGCACATATTCACGCACTACACATTCACAATTTCTCGTTAAATAACTCAAGGCTAATGGCGAGTCCGTTGGTATGGCGAACACACATTTTAATGTTTAATACAATTCTAGCATGTTAATAAATATAATTAAAGAAATGACAATTGTTTCACTTTACCTTGAATTGAATTGAACGGGTGGCTTTGGTTGCGAAAATTTTACAAATTGGGTGTTTTTATACCCGATACTCAAAATGAGTATTGGGGTATATTAGATTTGTGGTGAAAATGGATGTGTGTAACGTCCAGAAGGAATCGTTTCCGACCCCATAAAGTATATATATTCTTGATCAGCATCAACAGCCGAGTCGATTGGGCCCTGTCTGTCTGTCCGTCTGTCCGTCCGTCCGTCTGTCCGTCCGTCCGTCTGTCCGTCCCTATCAGCGCCTAGTGCTCAAAGACTATACAAGCTAGAGCAACGACGTTTTATATCCGGACTTCTGTGATATGTCACTATTACGAGAATATTTCAAAACTTTGCCCCGCCCACTTCCGCCCCCACAAAAGACGACAATCGGTTGCATCCACAATATTGAGGATACAAGTAAACTAAAAACGCAGAATCATACTGATTTTCTGTCTCTCTCTCGCACGCACTCTTTGTCGTGTCGTTTAATATTGTGCAGTGTCTGCCGGAGGAGAGCCATACTGACTAAGTATCGGGTATAAATGTAGAGTTGCGGTGACCGCAGCAACTCGCACCGTTCCCCCTCGTTGCCTCTGCAAAAGTGCCTCTGAGACCGTGAATACAATTTATTATATTCATGTAATTGATCAGCAGCAGCTCTGTCGACAGAGGCATGTTCTCCTGTCGTTGGCTCATAAAACTACGGATTCTTCTGTGACCCATCGGTAATTAGGAAAAAAGGAAATCCACTTTTGGTTGCCGTCAATACAGCTGAGAAAATTCTGTATATATATATATATGTTTATATATTTATTCGGATACTAAAATCCAGATATTAAGTTTCGTTGTTATGGCCCGGTACTTGGTGAGGATCGTTCTCTTGGGCGCCCAGTCGATTGGCAAGGCGTTCGCGAAGACGGTGCGTCAGGAGGTCGAAGTTTACAGGGAGGCAGCCCGGGTGCATGCAGCGCAGTCCGCCACCTTTAATCCCACCAAAACCGATGCTGCGCTCAAGGGTATGACGCTGGAAGAGGCGCAGCTGATTCTGAACGTAAAGGATGTGCTGGATCGCGGAGAAGTCGAGAACAAGTTCCAGTACTTGTTTCATGCCAATCAGAAGAAGGCAGGCGGATCGTTCTACATTCAATCGAAGGTCGTTCGGGCGAAGGAACGTATTGATCAGGAGATCAAGAAGTGGAAGGCCCAGACCCTATCGCAGGCCCAGTCAGGACATGCATAAATGATTGGGGGTCTACTCTTGTTATGCCAATTGTGCTGGTTTTGAACAACGTGGGCAAATTCAAAGCCTCGCACTAAGAAATGATTCACAAAAGCTTTCCTTTCGCCCATGTATTTCCGTAATGTCAATTGCCATGACATTCAAATCCACCCAAGAACACGTTGTCAAAAAATTGGATAGCTGTAGTAGGCCATGCTCGGTTCAAAACCAGTCGTAGTGCAAGTGAAAGTTTACGAGCTATTCAAAAAATCAAACAAATTCAGTATCGTTTCGGGCTCCATAGGGGCAACATCTCCTAAAAAAAACTTAGTTTCGGTTATAAGAATAACAAAATTGTTGTGTTAAAAATAAAATTTTAGTAAAATTTAAAATGTGAAAAAACCAGAAGAGCACTTACACAAATCGGCACACAAAATGCCTCGTTAGGCTAATAGCAGATATGCCTAACGTCGATATAGTGAGTGTTAAACAGCAGCGCCTCCGTTGCAAGCCAGTTTCGACCCTCAATGCTCTTCGTTCTTCTTCTAGTCAGCCAAGGCACATACACGCACAACGTTATGCGAGACAATGCTGCTAGGAAAGCCCTGTAAACTGATGTGACGCTCTCCGTAGGATGGAACAACTTCTGCTGCTGGAGTTACACAAACAACTATACTTAATATGGCGAACAATCCTCTACTCTGGTACACAGCCATCCTTGACGGACAGCGTACAGCTTTTGACGGGGTAAGTGGAAGCCGTGGCAAATAGTGGATGCACCGCGAACTAATTTATTATTACCCATCACAGCTTTCCTAGCTTTTTATAGCGGTGACATACTAGAGGTTATTACACGCAAATATTCACGCACTACACATTCACAATTTCTCGTTAAATAACTCAAGGCTAATGGCGAGTCCGCTGGTATGGCGAACACACATTTTAATGTTTGATACAATTCTAGCATGTTAATAAATCTAATTAAAGAAATTACAATTGTTTCACTTTACCTTGAATTGAATTGAAGGGGTGGCTTTGGTTGCGAGTGAAAATTTGACAATTAGTGCAAAGTCGTCAGCTGAGGTACAGTGATGTTAAACGTCTACAAGCTGCATTAGTATTGAAACGATTAGTGTTGCGCAGCATCAGCAGCAGAGGAGCAGTGCTGAGAAATGCAAAATGAGACGATTGTAAATTCGACTGCTGAAAGCTGGAAATGAATTAATTGTGACATCCAGCATGGAGATTTTTCTACATGAATAATGGATATCGATAGATAATCTTTAATGCTTAAACACTAATTTTATATGTGCGCGCGTGTACGTGAAAAGAGCAACAATTTATATTCAAATTGCGCTTCCAGCATGGACATGCCATTGATCTCTATAATGAGGCACGTTTTACCAAAGCAAAAGTTCAACCCACACACACATGCATATCGTATTATTATTGCAATTTTCAATTTGTGTGCATTTAAAATGCAATTTTCTCTGGCAAAGTGAGAGACGAGGCTCAATGAAATTTAAGTTATTTATTTATAAGCATTGTTGCTGTGTCCGGCACTGTGTCGTGGCCGGGGGTGGGTGCGACGATGTCCAGTGTTGTCAGTCCGTGGCCAAAACTCTTAATAAAAACAATTAAACCAAATTGGCCCCAATTGTATGCGGGAAATTAAATAAAAAAAAACAAAATTTATTTAAACCAAAAATGCCGCCAAACGCCACTCAAGACAGCTTTGCGACAGTTGTAATCCAGAGGGGTGTTGGTTCAAACACCCTTCAAAAAATTGATGATCAGGATGTCGGATGGGAGAGAATAAAAAGATGATGATGCTAAAAACTGCACACTTAAGTGGAAATGCAGTCGAGTGTCGCCATCATCATCATCATTGCAGCAGTGAAGGCACCTCTGGCAGGAAAAAAGCAAATGCAGAGCAAGTACGCGCATCCACACACACACACACACACACACACACACAATCCATGAACAAATGATAAGCAGCAAGTCGACGTCAATGCCGCTGCGATTTGCGTTCGTCGTTTTCTTAGTTTTTTTTCGATTCTTCTCCTATACCCTGTATTCGTTGAGCACAAGGGTGTAAGCATTTTCCTAAAGGACAAGACAAGCAAATCTCCTTAAGAAATTCGTTGCTCGTTTGTTTCCTCTCATTTTTAAATGGTATTTTATGTTTTAGTATAGGGTATCCTTTGGTCGAGCTATCCACTGGAGCGTTCTTAGCTGCTTTTTTAAACTTTTTAGTATGGAAAAACTATTCAAGTCTAATGGCACGAAAGAGAATAATGACGCACAATACACTTCGACAGTTTAAACGGATTCACATGATTACAACTAAAACGGGGGAGAAGATCTGAAGAGCCGCAGCAGAGTGAAGAGTGGAGCGTGGAGCGTGGAGCCTGGAGAGCGGAGACCGTGGAGTGGAGAGGCGATGACGACAACGGCTGCGTAGCCCTTAGCTGCACTGCATTGGCAGTAAGTAATGATGTCTGTCGATGTTTGCAGAAACTTGTTAACCATTTGAAGGCGACAAATGTCGTGCCCATTTTATCAAGTCATAACAGTGGGCCACATGGCATTAAGACGCGCTAAGCTCTCATCCAATCAGCATCTCTGGCTTGGCCCACAGTGCGCGGCTATGTCAAGCACTTCATTTCCTTCGGGAAGTGCCTTCAGGCAAACAAATTGCTAAATATAATGGATCAAGGTGGGCGCGGCCAGATCGTTGATGGTAGTTGGACTTCCTTGCCGTCCTTAGCATGCGGTCGTCGTGGCGCTGTCCGGGAAGCGAAATTTCTGGTTGCGCAGATAAGAGTCGAGGTACTCCTGGCTGATCAGCGAGTCATAAAACTTTCCTTCGAGGCTGCCCAGGACCCAGTCGAAGAGATATAGAAAAACAGATTTTTATTTATTTAAATAATGTTTGTTAAATATTTCGTTAATGCATATCCCATAAATGATACTGTAGTAGGGAAAGCGGTACACGCATTCTAATCACACACGCACAAACACCTCAAACACACAATACTAATTGATTTGATACAAGAAAAGAAAAAATAATTAAATAATGCATTTATTTATTTATACAAATATAGGGAGAGCTTTTATTATCCTACAATAGCTGGAGCGGCACACGCATTCCTATCAAACACGCAGACACAACTTAAAACCTTGTGGCCCAGCAACTGGAATCTGCAACCAATGGACTAAAAGACTGTGCACGAATAATCCGAAAAGCACAGAGAGAGAGCAGGCAGCAGAGGGAGCTCGACATTCAACAGCAACGGCAATACGGAGGAGACGATCCAGCGAAATGCAGGGAACCCACAGTATACTCACGAAAGCAGAGACACCGAAAGAACAGTCCATAAAGAAGAATGCAGGCAATCCAGACAAAGTGAGAGCAAGAGCGCGAGCAGCAGACGCGCTTATGCTTTCCGGAGAGTGTGTAGGCGATGCAGCCGATGATGCGTGACATCAGTGAACACAGAAGAACGATGATCCAAAGCAAACTGGATAAGAGCAATAACAAATTGTTCCCGCAAGTCCGTTATTACGTTCAGATTTTATATTTATATTAAAAACTCAACAAAATTAATGTTCAATAACAATGAGAACAAAAATGAGTCCCTGGTGCAGGACCGAGAAGAAAATACGACCGACTTCGGCAAGATCTATACGGTAATCTAGAGATACACGTTTTCAACTATACAGCCGTGATCAAAGTGCAGCTGCGTGGGCAAG